TCCTCCCCATCCACCTCCTTTCACCTTATCCAGTGCCAGGAGAGTTAACCCAAAGACCTCATCACACCTCCTCTTCATCCCATCTCCTCATCAAATCCAGATCTTCAGCATCATCACCAGTGTCTAGACTCCGGGGGGTTTCCCTATATGCTCACGGCTGCCTTTCCCCCTTTAGATATACAATTTCAGGATTGGGGTCTAATCCCCAAAGACTTAACATTTATCATATGACATGTGTCAATAAATGTTCTTTAAACAAAATGAAGTCTCTCCTGATTGAAATAAAACATGGGGACCAGGCAAAACAAAAAAACTGAACGTGTACAAACCTTAGAGGGAACAAGGGAAGAATAACGAGCAGGAACACTGATAAAAACGATGTTTTGGTCCAGGAACACTATCAGGCAGGGACGAAATACACCACAAATCAAGACCGGACAGGGACAAAGACGTCAAATCAACAAAGATCACAAGGAGAGATAGGACTATAAAGACACCAGATTAAATAGAAAGACAACACACAGCTGGAGAAAGCAGGAATTAACTCAAAGGCAGAAGGTGAAAACCATCATACAATCACACAGGCGGGAAAACAATAAGACAGGAAGTAAAGCCTGACAAAAAAATCAAGAGAAACACATTTCAAAATAAGACAGGAAACATTAAATACAAACACTAAGATCATGAAAGTGCAGACAGCTAAAGGATTTGAAAAAGGATATAAACAGTGAGTTTTTAGGGTGGGCTAAACATTATACAACCATTTATGCGGTACATTACAGTATTTGTATCCTCTGCAGAGATCAGAACATACCTAAATCGGACTCTTTTTCCTTCATATTCTACTTTAAATGCGGACAGTTTTTTTTGAATAAACTGTAGTTAAAGCAGTGGCGAGCCGTCAGGGCCCTCTAATGCTGCGTTCACACCAGACGCGATGCGAATATTCGCTTCGCTCTAATCGCTCCTATGCATCGCTCTAGTCCAGCGGTTTTCAAAGTGTGAGGCGCGCCTCCCCTGGGGGGCGCCAGAGAGCTTCAGGGGAGGCGCAGCGTGAGACACAAAAGAACGAGAAAAAGACGAGTAAAGTGACACTTGCCCACTTGTGGCTGTCTGTGGAGACCGAGTTCCCCCACCTCGCCAAAAAGGCTGTAAAAGTGCTCATTCCTTTCACCTCCACCTACCTGTGTGAGTGCAGGTTTTCCGCATTGATTTTGATCAAAAGCAAGTACCGGTCAAGGCTGCAGCCAGAGGATGATCAGCGTTTATTCCTCTGTGCATCAAAGACGCAGACTCATTGTTCCCACTAAAGTAGGGGTGAGTGCAGGGGCGGACTGGGACTACAAATCAGCCCGGGACTCTCGACCGGCCCACTTCGGTACCGCCGGCCAACCGCGGTGCTAGTGACTTACCGCAGAGGTAGACATTAAGGGTAAAATGCCACTGGCATTATATTATCACTGGCCCCACCATTGTAACCACTGGCCCGGAGCATTCGTCCAAAAAAAAATCGACTAATAATGAAGAAAATTAACACATTTGTTGCAATAGTAATGTATGCACAAACTACATTACTACTTGTACTACAACATTTGATTCATCAGTTCTTCCTCATGTTCCTCAATTGTTCATATTTGGTTTATTAAAATAATGATATTGTGGTCATTGTTAAAAAATGTCTGCTATTATTATGAGTATTATTATTTGTATAATGCACTTTCTGCCTTCCTGTCATTAGGAGTTAGACATGTAATGGCTATGTAATTGATTTGATTAGAACCTTCATTATCCTAAACTGCTGGGACATTTCGCCAATACCTTTATATTGTCTACTCTTCACTTACTTGTCAGCATAGGTCGGTATTGATGTACAGAGCCGACAGAAGACCTTGTTTATATTGGCATCATATTGAGAGGTGCAGCCAGTGACGCTTCCTAAACCAGGAAGTAAGCTGCTGGTTCCCTCGACAAAAAGCAATGGGATTTCTCCACAGGGTTTTGGAAAATAGCTGGAAATAAGGTCTGTGGAAAACAAACCTTTTTGATAAATGCACGTTTTGTTCAGCCGGATAATCTCCACATGTCTACCCTACTTTTATAATTTTCGAATCATAAATCTAATCGATAGATTATAAAAGGGTCTTAGGACGCGTCACTGCACCACTAGAAAACAACTCCATTGATCAAGCTGGCTGAAACTTTCTCTCCCTCTTCTTCTCATGCTCCCTGTCACTCTCCTTTAACTCCTCCGGTGAATTTCTTTTATTTGAAGATAGTTTTTTGCCCAGCGCTTGGCCGGTTACCGCTGGTATCAAAAACATTTTGGCGAATGGTTAGGTGGCGAGAAAGTCTGTAGTGAAGGAGCGCGCTCCCGCTCACGGAAGCCTGCTCGCGCTGCGCTCTTTGTTATGTATCGCAATTGTCGACAACAGAAACAACCACTTTCGTGTGTCGAC